CMAWYCMAAAARRRWTTTAWSAAGTTATAATCTTKSTCTCSWCYASAAGCGYAAGGGGAATTAACTCAGGGGTAGAGTGGTCGCTTCGCATGCGACAAGTCGGGGGTTCGAATCCCCCATTCTCCAAGATCTTACTTTTTGGCAGATCGTAGGAATATGCACACTTGTACTTGTTGTACTATCTATCGATTCCTATTCATAATAATGACACAAGTGTGAGCCTAAATCACGGATAGATAGTGAATAAGCTCACTCTTTATTGTAAACACGTAGTTATACAATACTAAAGAGCACACGTACATTTTGCAGGTTATGAGCAACAACAGCACCAGAACTGCCTCCTATGCTCATCAGCCACCACTCCACAAAGAAAGCACTCACATTGACTGAGTTGCTACCCCTCCTATGGAAGATCATTTTTCGAATCCCCCATTGTCCAAGAGCAACTCTTTTTGGCAGAGTGCAGGAGCATGCACATATGTACCGGTACCACGTCACATACCTATTGAACCCAATTCATACCATTGACACAACAAGAAGCAACAAAAGATTACTTTAGATTCTGGTGGCTTTTCTCTTCTTGAAAAATTCATAGTTTTATGGGAAGGAAGATAATTGATAATGTTCCCTTTTTGTGGTGTGTGGTGTGAATATCATGATGATATCATACTCAAAGTTTGCAGTTTCTTGTGCCAAAATCTAAAAAAATTGATAGTCAGCCAATACTACTAGTACTACTAGTAGTAGTAGTAGTGGTAGTAGGACTATGATCCTGAAAATCTTTTTGTGAAACATTCAATGATGCCCAATGTAATACTGTTTCCTACATTCTTGTTGCAAGCAGCTAGTAGTATCACCTCTAATAGAGCAAGGGCTCCATCATTTGTTCACTATTAGTAGTAGGAAATTTCATGCCTGATGAAATCTTCATCCACTTGTGTGCCATCAATGACAAAATAAAGTCTATTAGTAGGAAGAGAAAGGTGGCCCAAAAAACAATAAATGGATGGAAAGCAAGGAATTAGAGAGAGGAACTGTAACATGACATAGTACTAGTACTGGTAGTAGCAAGTGCTAAGAAAGACCAAACTGGAACATTAATTTTGTAGAGTACATTTTGTTTTCTATTTCTTCTATGTTGCCAACTTCATCATAGTTCAATAAATAACTGAGGAGAGAAATCATCATAATATTAAAAAACTTAAGTAGGAAGTAATGAAAAAATAGTAGATGATGACATGCATGTAGTAGTACATTTGTTATGCTTCTTTTTTTCCACACACCCCATCATAAATTGGGAAATCAAATCATGAAGAAAAAACAAGGGAAGAATTACCATGGTGATGATATGAAAAGCAAAGCACGACATGTGCATGGCTCCAAGAAAAAAGAATTGCAAATGTCTCCTACTGTTATGCAAGAAAAGTTGTTTGGAGATTTTTCTGCATTACATACATTAATTATCTATGAGGACAAATCTTTGTTGTTGTAGTAGCACTAGCTAGTAGTAGTAGTAGTAGTGGTAGTGGTAGTGGTAGTAGTAGTAGTGGTAGTAGTAGTAGTAGTAGTAGTAGTAGTAGTAGTAGTAGTAGTAGTAGTAGTAGTAGTAGTAGTAGTAGTAGTAGTAGTAGTAATGATAGTAAAGATTCTGCTACTAATTCTAGTCATACTATGCTGCTGCTAGTACTACTACTGCTTGCAGTAGTAATTAGCTACTACAAAGTACTAATTCTAGTAGCAGTGCTATTTGCACCCTTTTCCACCACAGCAAAGCATCAATACTAGCAGGATTGAAGAGAGAAAAAATCTTAATATTATATTTAACCTCATGAACTAGGAGAGGCGCTTTGTGGGCCAGAACCATAACTTCTGTGGAGAAGAATGCTCCTAGTAGCTGCTCAGAGGGGCAATGTCTCCCTCTGGTGAGGAGTGGTTCTGCTTGAGGTACAACTGGGTAACAGGATTAAAGAGAATAWGTTCCCAACACTGCTGAGTATATCATGCAGCACTTATGATTATTCTTCCTTCTAAAATTAAAGAGAATCTAGTACTCCTCCTCCAAAGACTAAATAAACTCACCAGCAGTTATAGTAACAAGTGTGATGATTGGTCATTTCAAAAGTAGTAGAGAGGACCCATTCCCGTCAGCAGCCATAATAATGACTGGCCATTCAAAGAAGATTCAACCCGTCTTTCTAACATTAAGAGAGTCCGAATCCCAACAAAAAGACTTGTTAGATTCGGTTGTTGCCAGTCAGTCACAAAACCATCAAGTTTGGTACTATAACTAGTAGTAGTAAAAGAAAACAAGACTAGTAGATATAAAGATATTGTTGAATAAAGTCAATGGTACTAGTGGTACTACTAACACTGACATTAGAAACATACAATTCAGGACAATAGTAATGGTTGCTAGCATGAGAGAAATGCAAAAGTTGTTATCATGTTTCCCACTGATGTATTCTCTGCACTGACACCCACAACCATGATGCTGGCAAACAATCACCTTTATTGATCACCACAAGAAATACTAGTACTAGAATACTGTCAACAAGTTAGTCCTGCTGATAAGAACATCTGACCAAAAAGAAAACATTGGAGAACTTGCTCAAARCAAGATAATGAACACTTATAATCTCATCAAGCACCATAATAATGATATTAACAGAWCAGGTGACAAGCAATTTATAAATACTATTACATTTCTAGCATACTAACTACTCCTCTTGAGCCRGTACTGAATGTGGATAATTACATGATCACCAARTGGGGTCTGAAAAACACTCAATCACATGGTGTTAAGCTATTTCAAACAGGATTAGTGGGGAAATATACTAGTGAGCAGCATRMACTTTCACTAAAACAAACTGGAGCCAACGYCAACAAAGTAAAGGCAGCAACTCATTACTACTAATTGAAGGAAAATAATATTATTTGATAGAAAAATGACAATATTGATGACAGTCAAGAAATTAGTTCAYAACCATGCCAACTGTGAGCTTAGAAAAATTCAGACACTAAGCAAAGTCTCAATGACCAAGAAAATTATTTATCTAGATTGTTGCTCTTTCTTTGTATTAAGACTTCCCAAATTGGTAGATTCATCTGAGTGGTTGAGAAAAATAGATGACACCAGGAGAGAATTTGTAGTAGTAGTTGCTGCAACAAAAATACAAGATTTCAAGGCATTCATGAACAAAATGTTTTTTCTCAGGGCCTGGTGCTGGTACTAGAAATTAAGTAGTAATTCATTCTGTTCAGTATCACTATTCTTGTTCTTCTTGCTGTAACATACTAGAAGAAGTTCTTTTAAATGCATTGGGAATGAACCAAAGGTGTGATTGGAACACAGCAGTCAATATCAATGAAAAACAGCACTACATTGCAGATCAATTAATTGGGAAATGAAGGAATAACAGAAGGTTCTAATAATTCTGCTTTGNCACAGCAGTCAATATCAATGAAAAACAGCACTACATTGCAGATCAATTAATTGGGAAATGAAGGAATAACAGAAGGTTCTAATAATTCTGCTTTGCTGTTGACAACCAGCCAAATCTACTGCCAACACCACTAGAATGAACAAAACTATCCTTGAACAAGCCCAACCAGCAATTGCAGCACATTGATCCCTTACTCTACCTGAAGGGAAGGTTTGTGCAAAAGAAGGGATCAATTCCATGGAAAGTCAAGCAAATACTGATCATATGGACTGGTCCTATTCTGACCCAAAAATCCAAAAAACTGCTTTCACCAACACTCTAACACTCAAACCAATACCAAATCAAGCTCAACTGGCAAGATCATTGCACATATCCCTTCTAGTATCAAAGATGAACATATGTGCAAAAGATTAGATTGATTCCATAGAATCAAGCAAATACTGATCATGCAGCTAGTACTGGAGGTCTTTTGCAACCAACTGCTCCTACTGCACCAGCTGCCAGTGATGCTGCAGTTACCAGGAAGCAGGTATCACCAGCAACAACGTAAAAACGTCCAGTGGCAGTGTTGAAAGAGGAATGCAGCCCTCAGCAAAGGATAATGTCAATTACTCAACCAAGGCTATGATACTGATGGTGAGATAGGTCCAATTTTTGATTCTGTTGGAAATGAAGGGGACCAGCTACTATTTGAGGAGGGCACCAGCAAGCTACTATTTGAGGAGGGCACCAGCAACAACCACAGGAATACAACCACAAGAATGATTCATGCCACTACAACTGGAGTAGCAGGGATTGGAGTAGTAGTAGTAATTTGCACGAGATTACGTGTACTCTTAGTAGGTATTTTAAGTGTGTATGAAAATTGAATTATAAGATTAAGATTATTGAACCTCGACGTGAGATTTCCGAAGTTCCGATTAGTTACTTGTGTAGATCTGGTACTGAATCTACATGGGGTTCTTACTATTCAGAACTCGTGACATCTTTGTTCCATGCGAGGTATTCTATTTCTGATATCGTGGACCTCTTACGTGTTCAGTGTTCGGTTCTCTTATAATGCATCCTATGATACGTATATAGGAAGCATACCCTACGATGGGTACGTAGGAATGGTATGAACCTTCATTCCTTTCTTCAGAGCTTCGTATCGTACGTATCCGTTGCATTGTCCCACACAGTGATATTGATATTGCAATATCACTCGCTACTAAACTGTAGCAATCATATCTTCGATATTTTCAACAGAAGGTTCTTCAGAAGTGGCATTTGTATTAGTTTCTTTGTAAGGAACAAGCTTTCTGATGTTGACAGTCTCACGGACGTTGTCACTCCTTTGTAACACCACAGTTCCATTAGTKTTGATCTCCACAATGGGATAAGGACCATGTAATCTTTGAGATAGCTTGTCTGGTTCATAGTGTTTCATGTAAGCTTGTTGCCCGACCTGATACTTGAAGGGTAT